GCATCGCGACGCTCTGGGGCGTCCGGGAGAGCATCGCGACACTCTGGGGCGTCCGGGAGAGCATCGCGACGCTCTGGGGCGTCCGGGGAGAGCATAGCGACGCTCTGGGGCGTCCGAGGAGAGCATCGCGACGCTCTGGGGCGTCCGGGGAGAGCATCGCGACGCTCTGGGGCGTCCGGGGAGAGCATCGCGACGTTTTGGGGCGTCCGGGGAGAGCATCGCGACGCTCTGGGGCGTCCGGGGAGAGCATCGCGACGCTCTGGGGCGCCCGAGGAGAGCATCGCGACGCTCTGGGGCGTCCGGGGAGAGCATCGCGACGCTCTGGGGCGTCCGGGGAGAGCATCGCGACGCTCTAGGGCGTCCGGGGAGAGCATCGCGACGCTCTGGGGCGTCCGGGGAGAGCATCGCGACGCTCTGGGGCGTCCGGGGAGAGCATCGCGACGCTCTGGGGCGTCCGGGGAGAGCATCGCGACGTTTTGGGGCGTCCGAGGAGAGCATTGCGACGCTCTGGGGCGTCCGCTCTGGGGCGGCTGGGAAGAGCATCGCGACGCTCTGGGGCGTCCGCTCTGGGGCGGCTGGGAAGAGCATCGCGACGCTCTTGGGCGTCCGGGGAGAGCATCGCGACGCTCTGGGGCGTCCGGGGAGAGCATCGCGATGCTCTGGGGCGTCCGGGGAGAGCATCACCACGCTCTGGGGCGTCCGGGGAGAGCATCGCGACGCTCTGGGGCGTCCGGGGAGAGCATCGCGATGCTCTGGGGCGTCCGGGGAGAGCATAGCGACGCTCTGGGGCGTCCGGGGAGAGCATCGCGACGCTCTGGGGCGTCCGGGGAGAGCATCGCGACGCTCTGGGGCGTCCGAGGAGAGCATCGCGACGCTCTGGGGCGTCCGGGGAGAGCATCGCGACGCTCTGGGGCGTCCGGGGAGAGCATCGCGACGCTCTAGGGCGTCCGGGGAGAGCTTCGCGACGCTCTGGGGCGTCCGGGGAGAGCATCGCGACGCTCTGGGGCGTCCGGGGAGAGCATCGCGACGCTCACGGGCGGCTGGGGAGAGCATCGCGACGCTCTGGGGCGTCCGGGGAGAGCATCGCGACGCTCTTGGGCGTCCGGGGAGAGCATCGCGACGCTCTGGGGCGTCCGGGGAGAGCATCGCGATGCTCTGGGGCGTCCGGGGAGAGCATCGCCACGCTCTGGGGCGTCCGGGGAGAGCATCGCGACGCTCTGGGGCGTCCGGGGAGAGCATCGCGACGCTCTGGGGCGTCCGGGGAGAGCATAGCGACGCTCTGGGGCGTCCGGGGAGAGCATCGCGACGCTCTGGGGCGTCCGGGGAGAGCATCGCGACGCTCTGGGGCGTCCGAGGAGAGCATCGCGACGCTCTAGGGCGTCCGGGGAGAGCATCGCAAGGCTCTGGGGCGTCCGAGGAGAGCATCGCGACGCTCTGGGGCGTCCGGGGAGAGCATCGCGACGCTCTGGGGCGTCCGGGAGAGCATCGCGACGCTCTGGGGCGTCCGGGGAGAGCATAGCGACGCTCTGGAGCGTCAGGGGAGAGCATCGCGACGCTCTGGGGCGTCCGGGGAGAGCATCGCGACGCTCTGGGGCGTCCGGGGAGAGCATCGCGACGTTTTGGGGCGTCCGAGGAGAGCATTGCGACGCTCTGGGGCGTCCGGGGAGAGCATCGCGACGCTCTGGGGCGTCCGGGGAGAGCATCGCGACGTTTTGGGGCGTCCGAGGAGAGCATTGCGACGCTCTAGGGCGTCCGGGGAGAGCATCGCAAGGCTCTGGGGCGTCCGAGGAGAGCATCGCGACGCTCTGGGGCGTCCGGGGAGAGCATCGCGACGCTCTGGGGCGTCCGGGAGAGCATCGCGACGCTCTGGGGCGTCCGGGGAGAGCATAGCGACGCTCTGGAGCGTCCGGGGAGAGCATCCTGACGCTCTGGGGCGTCCGGGGAGAGCATCGCGACGCTCTGGGGCGTCCGGGGAGAGCATCGCGACGTTTTGGGGCGTCCGAGGAGAGCATTGCGACGCTCTGGGGCGTCCGGTGAGAGCATCGCGACGCGCTGGGGCGTCCAGGGAGAGCATCGCGACGCTCTGGGGCGTCCGGGGAGAGCATCGCGACGCTCTGGGGCGTCCGGGGAGAGCATCGCGACGCTCTGGGGCGTCCAGGGAGAGCATCGCGACGCTCTGGGGCGTCCGGGGAGAGCATCGCGACGTTTTGGGGCGTCCGAGGAGAGCATGGCGACGCTCTGGGGCGTCCGGGGAGAGCATCGCGACGCTCTGGGGCGTCTGGGGAGAGCATCGCGACGCTCTGGGGCGTCCGAGGAGAGCATCGCGACGCTCTGGGGCGTCCGGGGAGAGCATCGCGACGCTCTGGGGCGTCCGGGGAGAGCATCGCGACGCTCTAGGGCGTCCGGGGAGAGCATCGCGACGCTCTGGGGCGTCCGGGGAGAGCATCGCGACGCTCTGGGGCGTCCGGGGAGAGCATCGCGACGCTCTGGGGCGTCCGGGAGAGCATCGCGACGCTCTGGGGCGTCCGGGGAGAGCATAGCGACGCTCTGGGGCGTCCGGGGAGAGCATCGCGACGCGCTGGGGCGTCCGGGGAGAGCATCGCGACGCTCTGGGGCGTCCGGGGAGAGCATCGCGACGTTTTGGGGCGTCCGAGGAGAGCATTGCGACGCTCTGGGGCGTCCGCTCTGGGGCGGCTGGGAAGAGCATCGCGACGCTCTGGGGCGTCCGCTCTGGGGCGGCTGGGAAGAGCATCGCGACGCTCTGGGGCGTCCGGGGAGAGCATAGCGACGCTCTGAGGCGTCCGGGGAGAGCATCGCGACGCTCTGGGGCGTCCGGGGAGAGCATCGCGACGCTCTGGGGCGTCCGGGGAGAGCATCGCGACGCTCTGGGGCGTCCAGGGAGAGCATCGCGACGCTCTGGGGCGTCCGCTCTGGGGCGGCTGGGAAGAGCATCGCGACGCTCTGGGGCGTCCGGGGAGAGCATCGCGACGCTCTGGGGCGTCCGGGGAGAGCATCGCGATGCTCTGGGGCGTCCGGGGAGAGCATCGCCACGCTCTGGGGCGTCCGGGGAGAGCATCGCGACGCTCTGGGGCGTCCGGGGAGAGCATCGCGACGCTCTGGGGTGTCCGGGGAGAGCATAGCGACGCTCTGGGGCGTCCGGGGAGAGCATCGCGACGCTCTGGGGCGTCCGGGGAGAGCATCGCGACGCTCTGGGGCGTCCGGGGAGAGCATCGCGACGCTCTGGGGCGTCCGGGGAGAGCATCGCGACGCTCTGGGGCGTCTGGGGAGAGCATCGCGACGCTCTGGGGCGTCCAGGGAGAGCATCGCGACGCTCTGGGGCGGCCGGGGAGAGCATCGCGACGCTCTGGGGCGTCCGGGGAGAGCATCGCGACGCTCTGGGGCGTCCGGGAGAGCATCGAGACGCTCTGGGGCGTCCGGGGAGAGCATAGCGACGCTCTGGGGCGTCCGAGGAGAGCATCGCGACGCTCTGGGGCGTCCGGGGAGAGCATCGCGACGCTCTGGGGCGTCCGGGAGAGCATCGCGACGCTCTGGGGCGTCCGGGAGAGCATCGCGACGCTCTGGGGCGTCCGGGGAGAGCATAGGGACGCTCTGGGGCGTCCGAGGAGAGCATCGCGACGCTCTGGGGCGTCCGGGGAGAGCATCGCGACGCTCTGGGGCGTCCGGGGAGAGCATCGCGACGTTTTGGGGCGTCCGGGGAGAGCATCGCGACGCTCTGGGGCGTCCGGGGAGAGCATCGCGACGCTCTGGGGCGCCCGAGGAGAGCATCGCGACGCTCTGGGGCGTCCGGGGAGAGCATCGCGACGCTCTGGGGCGTCCGGGGAGAGCATCGCGACGCTCTAGGGCGTCCGGGGAGAGCATCGCGACGCTCTGGGGCGTCCGGGGAGAGCATCGCGACGCTCTGGGGCGTCCGGGGAGAGCATCGCGACGCTCTGGGGCGTCCGGAAGAGCATCGCGACGCTCTGGGGCGTCCGGGGAGGGTATAGCGACGCTCTGGGGCGTCCGGGGAGAGCATCGCGACGCTCTGGGGCGTCCGGGGAGAGCATCGCGACGCTCTGGGGCGTCCGGGGAGAGCATCGCGACGTTTTGGGGCGTCCGAGGAGAGCATTGCGACGCTCTGGGGCGTCCGCTCTGGGGCGGCTGGGAAGAGCATCGCGACGCTCTGGGGCGTCCGCTCTGGGGCGGCTGGGAAGAGCATCGCGACGCTCTTGGGCGTCCGGGGAGAGCATCGCGACGCTCTGGGGCGTCCGGGGAGAGCATCGCCACGCTCTGGGGCGTCCGGGGAGAGCATCACCACGCTCTGGGGCGTCCGGGGAGAGCATCGCGATGCTCTGGGGCGTCCGGGGAGAGCATAGCGACGCTCTGGGGCGTCCGGGGAGAGCATCGCGACGCTCTGGGGCGTCCGGGGAGAGCATCGCGACGCTCTGGGGCGTCCGGGGAGAGCATCGCGACGCTCTGGGGCGTCCGAGGAGAGCATCGCGACGCTCTGGGGCGTCCGGGGAGAGCATCGCGACGCTCTGGGGCGTCCGGGGAGAGCATCGCGACGCTCTAGGGCGTCCGGGGAGAGCGTCGCGACGCTCTGGGGCGTCCGGGGAGAGCATCGCGACGCTCTGGGGCGTCCGGGGAGAGCATCGCGACGCTCACGGGCGGCTGGGGAGAGCATCGCGACGCTCTGGGGCGTCCGGGGAGAGCATCGCGACGCTCTTGGGCGTCCGGGGAGAGCATCGCGACGCTCTGGGGCGTCCGGGGAGAGCATCGCGATGCTCTGGGGCGTCCGGGGAGAGCATCGCCACGCTCTGGGGCGTCCGGGGAGAGCATCGCGACGCTCTGGGGCGTCCGGGGAGAGCATCGCGACGCTCTGGGGCGTCCGGGGAGAGCATAGCGACGCTCTGGGGCGTCCGGGGAGAGCATCGCGACGCTCTGGGGCGTCCGGGGAGAGCATCGCGACGCTCTGGGGCGTCCGAGGAGAGCATCGCGACGCTCTAGGGCGTCCGGGGAGAGCATCGCAAGGCTCTGGGGCGTCCGAGGAGAGCATCGCGACGCTCTGGGGCATCCGGGGAGAGCATCGCGACGCTCTGGGGCGTCCGGGAGAGCATCGCGACGCTCTGGGGCGTCCGGGGAGAGCATAGCGACGCTCTGGAGCGTCCGGGGAGAGCATCGCGACGCTCTGGGGCGTCCGGGGAGAGCATCGCGACGCTCTGGGGCGTCCGGGGAGAGCATCGCGACGTTTTGGGGCGTCCGAGGAGAGCATTGCGACGCTCTGGGGCGTCCGGGGAGAGCATCGCGACGCTCTGGGGCGTCCGGGGAGAGCATCGCGACGTTTTGGGGCGTCCGAGGAGAGCATTGCGACGCTCTAGGGCGTCCGGGGAGAGCATCGCAAGGCTCTGGGGCGTCCGAGGAGAGCATCGCGACGCTCTGGGGCGTCCGGGGAGAGCATCGCGACGCTCTGGGGCGTCCGGGAGAGCATCGCGACGCTCTGGGGCGTCCGGGGAGAGCATAGCGACGCTCTGGAGCGTCCGGGGAGAGCATCGCGACGCTCTGGGGCGTCCGGGGAGAGCATCGCGACGCTCTGGGGCGTCCGGGGAGAGCATCGCGACGTTTTGGGGCGTCCGAGGAGAGCATTGCGACGCTCTGGGGCGTCCGGTGAGAGCATCGCGACGCGCTGGGGCGTCCAGGGAGAGCATCGCGACGCTCTGGGGCGTCCGGGGAGAGCATCGCGACGCTCTGGGGCGGCTGGGGAGAGCATCGCGACGCTCTGGGGCGTCCAGGGAGAGCATCGCGACGCTCTTGGGCGTCCGGGGAGAGCATCGCGACGCTCTAGGGCGTCCGGGGAGAGCATCGCGATGCTCTGGAGCGTCCGGGGAGAGCATCGCGACGCTCTGGGGCGTCCGGGGAGAGCATCGCAAGGCTCTGGGGCGTCCGGGTAGAGCATCGCGACGCTCTAGGGCGTCTTGAGAGAGCATCGCGACGCTCTGGGGCGTCCGGGGAGAGCATCGCGACGCTCTGGGGCGTCCGGGGAGAGCATCGCGACGCTCTGGGGCATCCGGGGAGAGCATCGCGACGCTCTGGGGCGTCCAGGGAGAGCATCGCGACGCTCTGGGGCGTCCGCTCTCGGGCGGCTGGGAAGAGCATCGCGATGCTCTGGGGCGTCCGGGGAGAGCATCGCGACGCTCTGGGGCGTCCGGGGAGAGCATCGCAATGCTCTGGGGCGTCCGGGGAGAGCATCGCCACGCTCTGGGGCGTCCGGGGAGAGCATCGCGACGCTCTGGGGCGTCCGGGGAGAGCATCGCGACACTCTGGGGCGTCCGGCGAGAGCATCGCGACGCTCTGGGGCGTCCGGGGAGAGCATCGCGACGCTCTGGGGCGTCCGGCGAGAGCATCGCGACGCTCTGGGGCGTCCGGGGAGAGCATCGCGACGCTCTGGGGCGTCCGGGGAGAGCATCGCGACGCTCTGGGGCGTCCGAGGAGAGCATCGCGACGCTCTGGGGCGTCCGGGGAGAGCATCGGGACGCTCTGGGGCGTCCAAGGAGAGCATCGCGACGCTCTAGGGCGTCCGGGGAGAGCATCGCGACGCTCTGGGGCGTCCGGAGAGAGCATAGCGACGCTCTGGGGCGTCCGGGGAGAGCATCGCGACGCTCTTGGGCGTCCGGGGAGAGCATTGCGACGTTCTGGGGGCGTCCGGGGAGAGCATCGCGACGTTTTGGGGCGTCCGAGGAGAGCATTGCGACGCTCTGGGGCGTACGCTCTGGGGCGGCTGGGAAGAGCATCGCGACGCTCTTGGGCGTCCGGGGAGAGCATCGCGACGCTCTGGGGCGTCCGGGGAGAGCATCGCGACGCTCTTGGGCGTCCGGGGAGAGCATTGCGACGTTCTGGGGGCGTCCGGGGAGAGCATCGCGACGTTTTGGGGCGTCCGAGGAGAGCATTGCGACGCTCTGGGGCGTACGCTCTGGGGCGGCTGGGAAGAGCATCGCGACGCTCTTGGGCGTCCGGGGAGAGCATCGCGACGCTCTGGGGCGTCCGGGGAGAGCATCGCGATGCTCTGGGGCGTCCGGGGAGAGCATCGCCACGCTCTGGGGCGTCCGGGGAGAGCATCGCGACGCTCTGGGGCGTCCGGGGAGAGCATCGCGACGCTCTAGGGCGTCAGGGGAGAGCATAGCGACGCTCTGGGGCGTCCGGGGAGAGCATCGCGACGCTCTGGGGCGTCCGGGGAGAGCATCGCGACGCTCTAGGGCGTCCGGGGAGAGCATCGCGACGCTCTGGGGCGTCCGGGGAGAGCATCGCGACGCTCTGGGGCGTCCGGGGAGAGCATCGCGACGCTCTGGGGCGTCCGGGAGAGCATCGCGACGCTCTGGGGCGTCCGGGGAGAGCATAGCGACGCTTTGGGGCGTCCGGGGAGAGCATCGCGACGCTCTGGGGCGTCCGGGGAGAGCATCGCGACGCTCTGGGGCGTCCGGGGAGAGCATTGCGACGTTTCGGGGCGTCCGAGGAGAGCATTGCGACGCTCTGGGGCGTCCGGGGAGAGCATCGCGACGCTCTGGGGCGTCCGGGGAGAGCATCGCGACGCTCTGGGGCGTCCGGGGAGAGCATCGCGACGCTCTGGGGCGGCTGGGGAGAGCATCGCGACGCTCTGGGGCGTCCGGGGAGAGCATCGCGACGCTCTTGGGCGTCCGGGGAGAGCATCGCGATGCTCTAGGGCGTCCGGGGAGAGCATCGCGATGCTCTGGAGCGTCCGGGGAGAGCATCGCGACGCTCTGGGGCGTCCGGGGAGAGCATCGCAAGGCTCTGGGGCGTCCGGGGAGAGCATCGCGACGCTCTAGGGCGTCCGGGGAGAGCATCGCGACGCTCAGGGGCGTCCGGGGAGAGCATCGCGACGCTCTGGGGCGTCCGGGGAGAGCATCGCAACGCTCTTGGGCGTCCGGGAGAGCATCGCGACGCTCTGGGGCGTCCGGGGAGAGCATAGCGACGCTCTGGGGCGTCCGGGGAGAGCATCGCGACGCTCTGGGGCGTCCGGGGAGAGCATCGCGACGCTCTGGGGCGTCCGGGGAGAGCATCGCGACGTTTTGGGGCGTCCGAGGAGAGCACTGCGACGCTCTGGGGCGTCCGCTCTGGGGCGGCTGGGAAGAGCATCGCGACGCTCTAGGGCGTCCGCTCTGGGGCGGCTGGGAAGAGCATCGCGACGCTCTTGGGCGTCCGGGGAGAGCATCGCCACGCTCTGGGGCGTCCGGGGAGAGCATCGCGACGCTCTGGGGCGTCCGCTCTGGGGCGGCTGGGAAGAGCATCGCGACGCTCTGGGGCGTCCGGGTAGAGCATCGCGACGCTCTAGGGCGTCCGGGGAGAGCATCGCGACGCTCTGGGGCGTCCGGGGAGAGCATCGCGACGCTCTGGGGCGTCCGGGGAGAGCATAGCGACGCTCTGGGGCGTCCGGGGAGAGCATCGCGACGCTCTGGGGCGTCCGGGGAGAGCATCGCGACGCTCTGGGGCGTCCGGGGAGAGCATCGCGACGCTCTGGGGCGTCCGGGGAGAGCATCGCGACGTTTTGGGGCGTCCGAGGAGAGCACTGCGACGCTCTGGGGCGTCCGCTCTGGGGCGGCTGGGAAGAGCATCGCGACGCTCTGGGGCGTCCGCTCTGGGGCGGCTGGGAAGAGCATCGCGACGCTCTTGGGCGTCCGGGGAGAGCATCGCCACGCTCTGGGGCGTCCGGGGAGAGCATCGCGACGCTCTGGGGCGTCCGCTCTGGGGCGGCTGGGAAGAGCATCGCGACGCTCTGGGGCGTCCGGGTAGAGCATCGCGACGCTCTGGGGCGTCCGGGGAGAGCATCGCGACGCTCTGGGGCGTCCGGGGAGAGCATCGCGACGCTCTGGGGCGTCCGGGGAGAGCATAGCGACGCTCAAGGGCGTCCGGGGAGAGCATCGCGACGCTCTGGGGCGTCCGGGGAGAGCATCGCGACGCTCTGGGGCGTCCGGGGAGAGCATCGCGACGTTTTGGGGCGTCCGAGGAGAGCATTGCGACGCTCTGGGGCGTCCGCTCTGGGGCGGCTGGGAAGAGCATCGCGACGCTCTTGGGCGTCCGGGGAGAGCATCGCGACGCTCTGGGGCGTCCGGGGAGAGCATCGCGATGCTCTGGGGCGTCCGGGGAGAGCATCGCCACGCTCTGGGGCGTCCGGGGAGAGCATCGCGACGCTCTGGGGCGTCCGGGGAGAGCATCGCGACGCTCTGGGGCGTCCGGGGAGAGCATAGCGACGCTCTGGGGCGTCCGGGGAGAGCATCGCGACGCTCTGGGGCGTCCGGGGAGAGCATCGCGACGCTCTGGGGCGTCCGAGGAGAGCATCGCGACGCTCTGGGGCGTCCGGGGAGAGCATCGCGACGCTCTTGGGCGTCCCGGGAGAGCATCGCGACGCTCTAGGGCGTCCGGGGAGAGCATCGCGACGCTCTGGGGCGTCCGGGGAGAGCATCGCGACGCTCTGGGGCGTCCGGGGAGAGCATCGCGACGCTCTGGGGCGTCTGGGAGAGCATCGCGACGCTCTGGGGCGTCCGGGGAGAGCATAGCGACGCTCTGGGGCGTCCGGGGAGAGCATCGCGACGCTCTGGGGCGTCCGGGGAGAGCATCGCGACGCTCTGGGGCGTCCGGGGAGAGCATTGCGACGTTTTGGGGCGTCCGAGGAGAGCATTGCGACGCTCTGGGGCGTCCGGGGAGAGCATCGCGACGCTCTGGGGCGTCCGGGGAGAGCATCGCGACGCTCTAGGGCGGCTGGGGAGAGCATCGCGACGCTCTGGGGCGTCCGGGGAGAGCATCGCGACGCTCTTGGGCGTCCGGGGAGAGCATCGCGACGCTCTAGGGCGTCCGGGGAGAGCATCGCGACGCTCTGGGGCGTCCGGGGAGAGCATCGCGACGCTCTGGGGCGTCCGGGGAGAGCATCGCGACGTTTTGGGGCGTCCGAGGAGAGCATTGCGACGCTCTGGGGCGTCCGGGGAGAGCATCGCGACGCTCTGGGGCGTCTGGGAGAGCATCGCGACGCTCTGGGGCGTCCGGGGAGAGCATAGCGACGCTCTGGGGCGTCCGGGGAGAGCATCGCGACGCTCTGGGGCGTCCGGGGAGAGCATCGCGACGCTCTGGGGCGTCCGGGGAGAGCATCGCGACGTTTTGGGGCGTCCGAGGAGAGCATTGCGACGCTCTGGGGCGTCCGCTCTGGGGCGGCTGGGAAGAGCATCGCGACGCTCTGGGGCGTCCGCTCTGGGGCGGCTGGGAAGAGCATCGCGACGCTCTGGGGCGTCCGGGTAGAGCATCGCGACGCTCTAGGGCGTCCGGGGAGAGCATCGCGACGCTCTGGGGCGTCCGGGGAGAGCATCGCGACGCTCTGGGGCGTCCGGGGAGAGCATAGCGACGCTCTGGGGCGTCCGGGGAGAGCATCGCGACGCTCTGGGGCGTCCGGGGAGAGCATCGCGACGCTCTGGGGCGTCCGGGGAGAGCATCGCGACGTTTTGGGGCGTCCGAGGAGAGCATTGCGACGCTCTGGGGCGTCCGGGGAGAGCATCGCGACGCTCTGGGGCGTCCGGGAGAGCATCGCGACGCTCTGGGGCGTCCGGGGAGAGCATAGCGACGCTCTGGGGCGTCCGGGGAGAGCATCGCGACGCTCTGGGGCGTCCGGGGAGAGCATCGCGACGCTCTGGGGCGTCCGGGGAGAGCATCGCGACGTTTTGGGGCGTCCGAGGAGAGCATTGCGACGCTCTGGGGCGTCCGCTCTGGGGCGGCTGGGAAGAGCATCGCGACGCTCTGGGGCGTCCGGGGAGAGCATCGCGACGCTCTGGGGCGTACGGGGAGAGCATCGCGACGCTCTGGGGCGTCCGGGGAGAGCATCGCGACGCTCTGGGGCGTCCGGGGAGAGCATCGCGACGCTCTGGGGCGTCCGGGGAGAGCATCGCAAGGCTCTGGGGCGTCCGGGTAGAGCATCGCGACGCTCTAGGGCGTCTGGGGAGAGCATCGCGACGCTCTGGGGCGTCCGGGGAGAGCATCGCGGCGCTCTGGGGCGTCCGGGGAGAGCATCGCGACGCTCTGGGGCGTCCGGGGAGAGCATCGCGACGCTCTGGGGCGTCCGGGGAGAGCATTTCGACGCTCTGGGGCGGCTGGGAAGAGCATCGCGACGCTCTGGGGCGTCTGGGTAGAGCATCGCGACACTCTAGGGCGTCTGGGGAGAGCATCGCGACGCTCTGGGGCGTCCGAGGAGAGCATCGCGACGCTCTGGGGCATCCGGGGAGAGCATCGCGATGCTCTGGGGCGTCCAGGGAGAGCATCGCGACGCTCAGGGGCGTCCGGGGAGAGCATAGCGACACTCTGGGGCGTCCGGGGAGAGCATCGCGACGCTCTTGGGCGTCTGGGGAGAGCATCGCGACGCGCTGGGGCGTCCGGGGAGAGCATCGCGATGCTTTGGGGCGTCCGGAGAGAGCATCGTGACGCTCTGGGGCGTCCGGGGAGAGCATCGCGACATTTTGGGGCGTCCGAGGAGAGCATTGCGACGCTCTGGGGCGTCCGGGGAGAGCATCGCGACGCTCTGGGGCGTCCGGGGAAAGCATCCCGACGCTCTGGGCCGTCCGGGGAGAGCATCGCGACGTTTTGGGGCGTCCGAGGAGAGCACTGCGACGCTCTGGGGCGTCCGCTCTGGGGCGGCTGGGAAGAGCATCGCGACGCTCTAGGGCGTCCGCTCTGGGGCGGCTGGGAAGAGCATCGCGACGCTCTTGGGCGTCCGGGGAGAGCATCGCCACGCTCTGGGGCGTCCGGGGAGAGCATCGCGACGCTCTGGGGCGTCCGCTCTGGGGCGGCTGGGAAGAGCATCGCGACGCTCTGGGGCGTCCGGGTAGAGCATCGCGACGCTCTAGGGCGTCCGGGGAGAGCATCGCGACGCTCTGGGGCGTCCGGGGAGAGCATCGCGACGCTCTGGGGCGTCCGGGGAGAGCATAGCGACGCTCTGGGGCGTCCGGGGAGAGCATCGCGACGCTCTGGGGCGTCCGGGGAGAGCATCGCGACGCTCTGGGGCGTCCGGGGAGAGCATCGCGACGCTCTGGGGCGTCCGGGGAGAGCATCGCGACGTTTTGGGGCGTCCGAGGAGAGCACTGCGACGCTCTGGGGCGTCCGCTCTGGGGCGGCTGGGAAGAGCATCGCGACGCTCTGGGGCGTCCGCTCTGGGGCGGCTGGGAAGAGCATCGCGACGCTCTTGGGCGTCCGGGGAGAGCATCGCCACGCTCTGGGGCGTCCGGGGAGAGCATCGCGACGCTCTGGGGCGTCCGCTCTGGGGCGGCTGGGAAGAGCATCGCGACGCTCTAGGGCGTCCGCTCTGGGGCGGCTGGGAAGAGCATCGCGACGCTCTTGGGCGTCCGGGGAGAGCATCGCCACGCTCTGGGGCGTCCGGGGAGAGCATCGCGACGCTCTGGGGCGTCCGCTCTGGGGCGGCTGGGAAGAGCATCGCGACGCTCTGGGGCGTCCGGGTAGAGCATCGCGACGCTCTAGGGCGTCCGGGGAGAGCATCGCGACGCTCTGGGGCGTCCGGGGAGAGCATCGCGACGCTCTGGGGCGTCCGGGGAGAGCATAGCGACGCTCTGGGGCGTCCGGGGAGAGCATCGCGACGCTCTGGGGCGTCCGGGGAGAGCATCGCGACGCTCTGGGGCGTCCGGGGAGAGCATCGCGACGCTCTGGGGCGTCCGGGGAGAGCATCGCGACGTTTTGGGGCGTCCGAGGAGAGCACTGCGACGCTCTGGGGCGTCCGCTCTGGGGCGGCTGGGAAGAGCATCGCGACGCTCTGGGGCGTCCGCTCTGGGGCGGCTGGGAAGAGCATCGCGACGCTCTTGGGCGTCCGGGGAGAGCATCGCCACGCTCTGGGGCGTCCGGGGAGAGCATCGCGACGCTCTGGGGCGTCCGCTCTGGGGCGGCTGGGAAGAGCATCGCGACGCTCTGGGGCGTCCGGGTAGAGCATCGCGACGCTCTGGGGCGTCCGGGGAGAGCATCGCGACGCTCTGGGGCGTCCGGGGAGAGCATCGCGACGCTCTGGGGCGTCCGGGGAGAGCATAGCGACGCTCAAGGGCGTCCGGGGAGAGCATCGCGACGCTCTGGGGCGTCCGGGGAGAGCATCGCGACGCTCTGGGGCGTCCGGGGAGAGCATCGCGACGTTTTGGGGCGTCCGAGGAGAGCATTGCGACGCTCTGGGGCGTCCGCTCTGGGGCGGCTGGGAAGAGCATCGCGACGCTCTTGGGCGTCCGGGGAGAGCATCGCGACGCTCTGGGGCGTCCGGGGAGAGCATCGCGATGCTCTGGGGCGTCCGGGGAGAGCATCGCCACGCTCTGGGGCGTCCGGGGAGAGCATCGCGACGCTCTGGGGCGTCCGGGGAGAGCATCGCGACGCTCTGGGGCGTCCGGGGAGAGCATAGCGACGCTCTGGGGCGTCCGGGGAGAGCATCGCGACGCTCTGGGGCGTCCGGGGAGAGCATCGCGACGCTCTGGGGCGTCCGAGGAGAGCATCGCGACGCTCTGGGGCGTCCGGGGAGAGCATCGCGACGCTCTTGGGCGTCCCGGGAGAGCATCGCGACGCTCTAGGGCGTCCGGGGAGAGCATCGCGATGCTCTGGGGCGTCCGGGGAGAGCATCGCGACGCTCTGGGGCGTCCGGGGAGAGCATCGCGACCCTCTGGGGCGTCTGGGAGAGCATCGCGACGCTCTGGGGCGTCCGGGGAGAGCATAGCGACGCTCTGGGGCGTCCGGGGAGAGCATCGCGACGCTCTGGGGCGTCCGGGGAGAGCATCGCGACGCTCTGGGGCGTCCGGGGAGAGCATTGCGACGTTTTGGGGCGTCCGAGGAGAGCATTGCGACGCTCTGGGGCGTCCGGGGAGAGCATCGCGACGCTCTGGGGCGTCCGGGGAGAGCATCGCGACGCTCTGGGGCGTCCGGGGAGAGCATCGCGACGCTCTAGGGCGGCTGGGGAGAGCATCGCGACGCTCTGGGGCGTCCGGGGAGAGCATCGCGACGCTCTTGGGCGTCCGGGGAGAGCATCGCGACGCTCTAGGGCGTCCTGGGAGAGCATCGCGACGCTCTGGGGCGTCCGGGGAGAGCATCGCGACGCTCTGGGGCGTCCGGGGAGAGCATCGCGACGTTTTGGGGCGTCCGAGGAGAGCATTGCGACGCTCTGGGGCGTCCGGGGAGAGCATCGCGACGCTCTGGGGCGTCTGGGAGAGCATCGCGACGCTCTGGGGCGTCCGGGGAGAGCATAGCGACGCTCTGGGGCGTCCGGGGAGAGCATCGCGACGCTCTGGGGCGTCCGGGGAGAGCATCGCGACGCTCTGGGGCGTCCGGGGAGAGCATCGCGACGTTTTGGGGCGTCCGAGGAGAGCATTGCGACGCTCTGGGGCGTCCGCTCTGGGGCGGCTGGGAAGAGCATCGCGACTGTTAGATGTTAAGGACGGAGTCTATGAAGATTAGGGGCTGAAATATCTCAAAATCGTCAACTACAATTCTGGACAGAAAAGTCGTCGTCACAAGAAACGTCGTCGACGAAAGGTCCACTGTTAGAATTCTTTCAAACTCGAGTATGTTGTAGCCCTTGACCGTGGCTATCTTTCCCAATTTGAATAGTATCAGAATATGGAGTATAACTCGAGTTATGAACTTCGGCGCACTAGGGGGTATGCTGCCATAGAAAACGTAACTCAATCACAATGATCTCACAAGTTCACACAAGAAAGTTAGAGTAGCAATAGAACCAGGTAGGAGGGGATGAGGAGGACGAGAGGGAAGGTCCCAAGAGAGTCCCCAACCAAGGAAACCCCATGCCATACAATTCCCTTCCCCATAGGCAACCCAACTTTGACCTTTGTCACTATCCCAACCTCCACAATCCACCTCAACCCAACTTGGCCACACTTGCCAACCTGGTTTGGTTTCTCCCAACCATTTGGCAGCAACTACAGTAGAAAAGACGAATTTCCCAACCCCCAAAAGTCTGTACCCCATATTGAGTCAACCCCACAACTTCCCATAGTCACCACAACCAAATATCAAAAGCATACGAGCTCCAACGTTCGTAACTTTCTTGTTCGTGCTCCGATTGAAGCGATACTTGGTTCCTCGGAAAGCTCTTGAGCAGAGGAGTCACTTCAGATATCTGCTCAAGCCAAATAACATTCACACACACACTCAGAAAAACCAAACCGCACAAAACACAAATTCTTGCACACACTCACAACACGCATGCAACGCACGAACATATGATGGGAGGCAGACAGACGTGAATGCGAATGGTAGCATCACTCAACAAACTCCCCCTCTGGCTGCCAACCATCATCCCACATGCCATAGCTCAAGCATGCATCCTCAATGCACACTCATCCCAGCAAGCTTCATGCCCTTCCAATGCTCAGATTCAGCCAGGCGCTTGGTGAGAATGTCAGCCGCCTGCTGATGGGTCTTCACAATCTCCAGCCGCACCTCCTTGTCCAGGAGCCTCCTCACCCAATGCCACTTAGGCCTGATGTGCTTCGTCAGCCCATGAAGGCAAGCATTCTTAGCAAGCTTCACAGCCGACTCGTTGTCACAGAAAATCACAGTTGGATCCTTTTGGCACACTCCGATCTCCTCCAACAAACGCCTCAGCCACACCACCTCCTTTGCCCCATGATGCAGAGCCATGTACTCTGTCTCACACGAGGACTGCCCCACCTCGTTCTGCTTCTTGCTGCGCCAGCTCACAGCACCACCTCCAAACAGGCACACATAGCCTCCAATGCTGGTGCCATCCGCCTTCACAGAGTTGAAGCTAGCGTCGGTGTAGCAGGTCAGGAGCATCTCCCCCTTGCCCAAATCAGCTGCACCCCTCTGCAGCCTCTGTCGCACAGCACTGTACTCCAAGCCCACTAATGCCGTAGCGCTCACATAGCGGACCAACCTCTTGGCCGCTTCCAGCTGCTCATGACTGGGGCGTGAAACCACACTTGCAAGCCTGGATGTAGCAAAGGCAATGTCAGGCCGCGTGTGGTTAGCCGCATAATTGAGTGCCCCCACCATGGAATGAAACAGCTTCCTGTCACTCTCACCCACCACCTCCTCTTCAGCACAGGGCTCCACAGTGAACCCCGAAGGCAGTGGGGTGGCTGGCTTTCCTCCATCTTGCAGCCCATACTTCTCAGCCAGCCCCTCACAATACTTTCTCTGGTGCAACCTCAACACTCCCTTGTCAAGGTCCCTCTCCACATGCATGCCCAAATAGTACTTCACATCTCCCATCTTGGAGCACTTAAACTGCATCTCCAGCATCTCCTCCACATGCTCAATCATTGCAGACGACTCAGAGAAGAGCAGGATGTCATCCACATACACCAGGAGCATGAGAAACTGCTCCTTCTCCTGCAGCAGGAACAAGCTGTGATCACACTCACTCTTCTTGAAACCCCCAGCCAGCAGAGTCTCCTCTAACTTGTGGTACCATGCACGAGGAGCCTGCTTCAGGCCATAGATGGCCTTCTTCAGCCTGCACACCCTGCCGCTCCCATCATCCAAACCCTCAGGCTGTAACATGTACAGCTCCTCCAGAATGATCCCATTGAGGAAGGCGGTGGTGATGTCCATCTGCTTCACCCGCCATCCACGGTATGCTGCCATTGCCAATGACACCCGAAGTGTTGTGCCTTTCCCCACAGGAGCATAGAGCTCGTTGAAGTCCTTTCCCTTTGTCTGCTGAAACCCCTTAGCCACAAGCCTTGACTTGTAGCGGGTCAGCGCCCCATCAGGTCCGTACTTGTGCCTGAAAATCAGCTTGGAAGAAATGGCCTTCTTCCCAGGTGGCAGCTCACACAGCTCCCACGTCTCATTCTCTAGCAGAGAATCATACTCCTCCTTCACACTCTGCTTCCACTTTTCAGCATCGGGCCCGCTCAATGCCTCAGCTAGCGTCTTGGGCTCAGGGACGGCTGCCCAGTAGCAGTGTGCTATCTCATCCTCATCACACTGCTCAGCCACACTCCCAGCCCTTACCACCTTTGGCTTGCCACGGCTTGCATAGGTCAGCCTGTTAGGAGGGCGCACATCCCTCCTAGGACGGTCAGCCGTACGTCCGGCACCTTGTGGAGCACCTTGCTCCTCCTGCTGCTGCGGCTGCTGCTGCTGTTGCTGCTGCTGCTGCTCCTCCACCTCAGGTTCTCCCCCATCCTCTGTCACCCCAGAGATCTCATTCTCAGAGACAGAAACCTCCACTTGCCTTGAAGGCCGCTGCACCTCATCGGCCTCGACAATTAGCGGTGTCGTTGGAAGCTTCTGCTGCTGCTGCTGCTTCCACTCCTTGTAGTACAAGGACTCAAGGAACTTCACATCCCTTGACACGGTCAGCTGCTGGCTGGTCAAGTCCCAAATCAGCCAGCCCTTGTGATCCTTAGCAAGCCCCAAGTGCACACCCCATCTCCCAGAAGCTTCCAGTTTTCCCCTCTTCTCCTTAGGCACATGAAACACCACCATGCACCCAAAGGCTCTCAGCATGTTCACAGCTGGTGCAATCCCATACCACTTGGTGTAGGGGACCCACTGCTTGTCCCCCACAGTTGCCAGCACCCTGTTCTTCACAACAACGACCTGCCGCAGTGCTGTCACCCAAAACGGATCCGGCAGCCCTGCACGCCCAAGGAGAGTGCGAGCACCTTCCTGCAGGGTCCGGTTGAACCGCTCAGCCACGCCATTCTGCTGAGGGTTGTAAGGCACTGTGAGCTGATGCTGGATCCCCTTCCGCTTCAGCTCCTTCTCAAAATCAGCGCCGATGAACTCTCCTCCGTTGTCAGTGCGGATCACCTTCACCTTGTGTCCGCTTTCCCTTTGTGCTCTCGGCATCCACTCCTTAAGAACAGCCGCTGCCACCTCCCCCTTAGTCTTGAGAGGGTACACCCACACCGCACGCGTGTGGTCGTCCACAATCGTCAAGAAGTAGCGGCTGCCCGAGAGAGAAAGGGCCCTCGTGGGGCCCACCACATCCATGTGCACTAGTGCAAGTGGTGCCTTGGCTGGTCCTGTGCTGCTGCTGAAGGGAAACTTCGTGAATTTGGTCTCAAGGCAGGTAGGGCAGCTCCCAATCTCCTTTGCTCCCCCCTTCACCTCCAGCCCCTTCAAGCACCCATCCTTTACCAACTTCTGCAGCATAGGAATGTTCACATGGCACAGCCTCTCATGCCACGTCTCCCAATCAGCCTCACCACTCCCAGATGAAGCCTTTGCCCATGCAGCTGTCGCATCCACACCAGCAAGCACCTCTCCATGTGGCTGTTGTGGCTGCTGCACCTTCTTGACTGCATCCAGGGCCCCAGCAGTTGGTGCAGTCTCCTCTCCTCCCGCAGTTGCTTTAGCCGCTGCCGCTGCCTTTGCCGTTGCTGGTGGTTTCCCCTTCCAAGGGATGATGGGCAGCTGCCACAAGTCCTTGATGCAGCTGCTCTTCTCCTCCAAGTTCCACAGCAGCAACTTCCCAAGCTTTGCACGGCAGCTGGTTGGGCCGAAGGTAACTTCAGCCTTGCTCTTCTGCAGCCGGCGCACAGAAAGAAGGTTAGCGGACAAACCTTCAACCAACAGCACATTCCCAAGCCCCACAAGCTCTCCATTGGCTCCCATCACCTTGGCATTCCCAACACCAATCACAGGGAGCAAAGCACCTGAAGCGGCAGCCACAAACTTGATCTTCCCAGGAGGTTTTACCTCATCAAGCAAATCTGCCCGTGGGGTCATATGACTCGTGCAACCTGAATCGATCACCCAGTGAGTGAGGGGGTGCATCACAACCTTCCCAACTGAACCCACATCACCCCCACTCCCTTGCACATCCTCAACCATGAGGAACATCCCAGGGTCGGCTTTACCTTGTGCACCATCACCTTGTGCACCTGAACCTTGCACAGCGCCACCGCGTGCACGTTCACCACATGGCGGCTTCATGCCTGGAGGGGCCCATCCCTCAGGCCGGCTGAAACACTTGAACCACGGGTGTCCAGCCTTCTTGCAGTACCAGCACGCACCCTCCATTCGGGTGCTCCCCCTGCCACCAGAGCTCCCATGCCCCTCATTGTAGTCACCTCGGCCTCTCCCTCTGCCAAAGCCTCTCCCACGGCCTCGGCCTCTCCCTCCCCCTCTTCCTCTGCTGCCTCCTGCAGCTCCATACCCCTCAGCAGTTTTGTTGGCAGCACCACCTCCCGTGTGGCGTCTGCGGAAGTCCTCCTGCAGAATCTGCTGCCGTAGCCACTCAGGCGTCCATTTGTCCTGCTGAACGTTGAGGGTGGGGATGAGGTTGTCCCACGAGTTGTCGAGCACC